TGTCATTTGGAGAAAAACTAATGGTTGGAGAAGGTGGAGGTGGAGATGAGGAAACTAAACCATTAGTCTTTCTAGAAGATGGAGATGTTACCAAATACGAAGGTGAATCAAGCAGAGAGGGGGGAGGAGAAGGAGGGGGAGGAGTGGGAACCGAAAATGAATCCTTAATAGAGGAAGTTGGAGATGATGCTAATAAAGGAGAAGAAGAGGATATTGAAGGTAAGCTCTCATTGAAAGAGGGTGGAGACCCCCCAAGACGAGAGGTAGGCGTTGCTTGATGTGAATATGGTGACAATTGACTTCTCCCTGGTGATGTGGTTTGAGACTGTTGAGAAATTGAAGATTTAATAGTTTTCAAAGAAAGTTGGTGAAGCAACAGCCGATCACCAATGTTTGAAGTTGAGGTGGTGGTAGGAGAATCTTCTAAGGTGTAACTTGGAGGTAAAATAGGAAGCTTACTTGGTTGAATATCTTTAGGGGAATCTAGAGCAGATGAAGGTGACGGAGCAGATGAAGGTGACAGAGCAAACGAAGGTGAAGATACTGTCAATGGATGTATGACTTCTTTACTACTAGAATTTGAATGATCATGTAATAAAGCTGTAATGCCAAGAGCTGAGGGGGCACTGTTATTTCTTAATATTGGGCGAGGTGAACATTGCACAGAACTCCGGAAGGAGACTGGTGTGGACAAGGAAGGTTCAGGTATTCGCTGGGTAATGATTTTAGACTGGACTGGTAGTTGGAGAGCAACCTGCAGTTCTGGGGATTCATCCTCTGATCTTATTGGACTTGCAGCACGAGATAGCTCAGAAGAAAGCCGAGATTGCTTTGTTTTCACTCTCAATCGGGGACTTCTAATGTTGTCTTCAGATGTCTCTGCTTCCGAGATTAGTTTTTCAAAAGATAAGTCAAGCAACTGGTTTCTGTCTAAAGAAGAGGCAGAACTAAGCAATTTCTCTTGGAGCACATTCGATGATGTTATTTTTTGAAGCATATTAAGAGCTGCATCTGCTTTTGGGCTTAGCCAGTCCACATTGCTAAAGATCTCTTGAACTCTAGCAAACGCTTCAATTGGAAGACCATCTTTCTCCTCAATATTTGGTAATTCAATTGAAATAAGTGATGCCGTGGCATCCATCTCTGAGAAAAGAACCTTGATCCAAACACAACTTATTTAGTCTTAGCAAGATAAACACAAAAAACAAGTAATAATAATAAAAGAAAATAAAGGAAATGTATGTATTTACCGGAGAGAGGAAGAGGGGATGAAACAAGTAATTGAACATACCTCTGCTCTGAAATCCTTTGGAAATTGATCCTTTGCATGCCACAAGATATCAATGTCATCACGGTTGAGCATCAAAATATTTGATCTTATAAAAGCTGTATTGAACATGACTCGAAACATCATCTCCTCCCTTTCCAGATCATTGTCCAAACTTATACATTCAAGAACAACATCACCTTGGATATGGCAATGGATATCAATTTTAACTAGTTCGCAATCTACCTGTAACAAAATACAGAAGAATTACAAAAAGCAGGCAGCACCCACAAACAGGCAACAATACGTATACAAAAATCTTGCAGGCTCCCACCACAAACCAAGTCAGGAAAGTTCCCTTCTGGAGTAATATACGAATTTGTCTTCTTTTACCATTAGAGGTTCATAATTGGCATTTACGTCGATGGAAGACTATCCAGCCACAATAAAACCACTTAAACATCGGGGAAAAAAACAAAATCTCATAGTTCAAAATATTACTACCTACAAAAGGCCTAAATGGATTGACATGTAACTTAAGAATAAAGAGGAAAACATTTAAAGAAAGAAATATAGATAGGCAGAAATTAGCAAGTCTCGGCATTAAAAAGACTAGATAAATGGAGAAAGAAATTCCCAAAAGAAAAGAGCAATTTCAGTAAATAAGACAAGAAATAAGGTAGGCAATATACGCTTGACCCTCTATTTAAATTTAAAAGGGAAAAAAAGGAGTCACCTGCTTATATTGACGAACAAGTTTACTCTTTTTGGGGGTTGAGAACAATACTTTGGAAGTTCGATCAGCAGCCATAAAGGGATCCTGTCCATATATCCTAAATATTGGGCGGCAACCACCTTCCCCATCCATATTAGGAATAAATCTAATAATTACGCAGTCTAATGTAAGCGCCCTATCAAGTGGAGGCCATTCGGATGCCACATTTCTTCTCGATACATATTGGAGATACCTCAATTGCGAAGGCAATGGATTAAGAGGGGACATCAACTGCAAAAGCTCCCGAGGTGCTTGCTTGTAAATCATGTCTAAAGTTTTTTGCTCCCCAGCATACTGCTTCCTGTAAATCAAAAGAGCAGCCAACATGAAAGCCAAGACTGGCCACCCCCCTCGTTCACAGTGCATCAAAAGTACATTTTGTTGCCCAAGTGAGAGCCAGCTTTCACTGGATCTTAAGAAGTGGTGGATCATCTCCATAGTAAGTAGAGGGCAGCCTTCATAGTGTCGAGGATAGTCCATGACAGTCATATCATAGTCAGATAATATATTAGTAATCATGCTTTGGCTCTCCCCCTCTCTGAAATTGAACACCATGAATGAAGCGTCGGTGAGACTCTCACGAAGTTGACCCACTATGCCTCCAATATAGACTTTGTAATCTACCTCTTCCAAAACCTCCGTGGTAAAGCAGCAGTCAAAAACTGCACACACATTCATTGGTTTACCCACTTCCTAATCATCCATAACAAAGCAAGACTACGCATGCATATACACAAGCTTGAGAGGAAAATATTAAAAACTTTGAAATATTCATTCAACGCTCGCAGTTTATTGATCGAGATGCAATACTCACAGTTCAATGCACAGAGTATTTTGGGGTGGAAAGGGGTGGGGGAGTTCAAGGCACTGAATTTGCCGTATCTTTAAGGGAAACATATGTGGAACATACAATTGCAGGCTAACAGAATGCAGATATGATACAACAACAAAGTTAATGCATGAGAATAATTGTAACTCAAAAGAAAGGAGGATAATTTGTAGTATAGTTCCAAAAGGGTACGATAGAATCCACAACTGCGAGCTCCGGGAAATTATAGCTGAATGGTTGCATCTTATAACTTGAGAGAGCTACGTTAAACGAGGACAACTCAATGATTATGAAGGCCCACGCACCTAGCAGCTAATAGTGACTTTTAGTAACAAAATTTCATGTAAAATTCCATAAGGACACTCGGAATTCAGTTTAGGCCACAACCAAAATGATTTGCAGAACTAATAACTATGCGTATTCTGTCACGAAATGTTGTGAAATTAAAGACAAAGAATGGCTATCTTAAATTGTTGTAAAAATCCACACTCCCATTACTTTCGAACCCCATAATACCAAACTTCAATCAACAGCTAAAACCAGTAGGACATACCATAAACCCTTTCAGATATCTCTAGAAGCCCGTCAGGCGGCTTCCGATAAAAGAACTTGCGAAATAAGGCCATTCTGATTCGGCGTTGAGATCCAAATCAGCACAAAAGCAAGGCTCCTACGAAATCCCTAATTTCAACCCGCATTACGCAGACACATTGCAGCTAATTGGCCCCCCGCAGATCACCAAATTCCCGCAGACGACGAGCAATTGCAGAACGCCATGATTGTGTTATGGCAGAGAGTGTAAATTCCGGAACCAAATGGAAATGGATTTTTGATTGGCCTTGAAGGGAACACAACACTTTCTCCTCGGTGAGGCCGTTGTTGCCGTCACGTTCACACTTGATAATAAAGATTTACTTAGCTTTCAATCAATTCAAGCTCCCATGGCCGAAAGAACAAAGAACCAGACGAGAAAATTGAGAGGAGAGAGAGAGAAAGAGAGAAAACAAAATGAACAAAAAAGCTTTGGGTTTAGAGAGAGAAAGTGGTGGAATATTCCAACAAAATTTGAAGGAATTGCAAAAGAAAATGAAAGAAAAAATACTGTAAACAAAGAAGAGTCGGATATGGCGGTTGGTGATCAAGGATCTGAGGTTTGTCTCTATCTCCTCTGTGTTCGCTCTCTGTAAATATTTCTTTTCTTTTTCTTTTTCTTTTTCTTTTTCTGTGATTTGTAGAAAGATTGGTGTTAAATAAGTGAAATATAATTATGATAATGATGGTGGTGTTCCTTTTTTTTTTTTCTTTTTGTTCTTTGCGTGAAATATTAAAATAAAATGATGTCTCCAGGTTAGATCTGTAGTTGTTCTGCTTTAGACACGTGCGTCCCCCATGCATTGGACAATTAAAATTTGTGCCGCATTGAATAAAACATATGTTCTTCTGATTTTATTTAATTTTAATATTTGAGTGTCACGAGCTATGGTTTCCTCTCTCTTAAAATTAATTTAGGCTTTAAATTACAACAAATACGACGTATAAGATTTGAATCCCAACTTTAATATAATCGATCAATTATTTATTATTCAACTAAGTTCGAATCGGCAGCTTCTAAGATTAAATTTATAATTTTGTCTTTAATACTATTTTCGGATTATTTCTTCAAAATATGGATTACACACGTAATTAGTAGTTTAGTTGTAGTTTTATTTTTTCAATTTATACTGTTATTCATTGCAATTTTTTTTTCCTTGGTTAAATAGACACTTTGAAAATAAGTAACAAATAGCTTACCCAATAAATTACCTTGAATTGACACCTATTATTAAAACTTTATTCAAAATAGTATTTGAGAATAAACAATATATATTAACAGAATTTATATGTTTGTCTATCCATTATTCGATTATGAATTTAGTGATCTTTTTTAGTGTGGGTGTTTAAGATTTACATCTCCAATTCTTTGAAAAATAAAAATGAAATGATAAAATACGTTGGAGTATACTCGTGATTGTTATAGATTTAGGAATTGATGTTAATAAAAATTAAAGAGGCATTTATGAAGTTGTTGCACGAAGGTGAATTTATTATATCAAGGAAAATCTCGAAAACATTGTTAAATATTTTTTTAAAATAAAAAATGCACATTTGATTTTGTAGGTTTAACTTAGATTTCACATTTTACGAATCCGAGCTAATCCATGCATGCAAGACTAGTTTGAAAATCACAATTATAAAAAGAAAACAATTTTTTTTTCTTTATATTAGGGTGTAATTTGAACCTTCAAAACTTTTGGGGCAGTCATGTATGTCTTTGGGTAAAAGATATATGTCTTACGTGAGTTAGTGCTCTGGTTGGTCAATTATATTAACTTATCTTAAGTATACTTGTATATAAAAAAATTAAATTAAAATACATAAAAATCTCTACACAGAAAAATTATTGGAGGAGGCTGCTACAATGTGGGTGTCTCCTAATAACCGTTTGATGTATATTAAAAAATCTTTTTCTCTATAATAACCATTGGATATAGATCATTCGAGGTAATTTTGTAGTTTATTGTTCATATACATTAAATTATATAGAATTATTAATCGCATTGTCAGAGCTTTCTTCAATCATTATCCTCTTTATTACCAATAAAAGTAATGTGGGAAAAGTTTGAAAACTACAAATTTCTCAATGTGAGCCTAAATTTATTGGATATAATTAGGGTTTATTTGAATTCATTTATATTTGGGAAAATTACTAAACTAAGGCAGATTTTATAACTTTATTTTATTTTATTTTATTTTAATGTTTTAATTATAATGATTTACTTTATTTTTTATAATCTATTAAAAAAATGAAATTTTGAAGGCTATTATGCTGTTGTTTTCTAGCATGCTTTCAGGAAAATTCTATTTCTTATAATAAAATATGAATTCAATATATATTCAACAATATTAAATTTTTTAACCCATCTAATCAAATTTTTAAAATAAGCTCGAGAACAACCTTAAAAAAATAAAAGCAAGAGTTAAAAAGATATTTGGTGATAGGAAGACAAGAATATTCTTGAAATCACATGGTAGGGAGTTGGCAATAACGGAATTTAGGATTAAGAAAGGTGAATTGGATTTTGATGTGGCCCCCAACCAATGATTATATGCATACCAACTGTTTGTTCAAAGTACTCAAACCAATCAAATTTCACATATTCCAACAAAAAAAAATCAAAATTTACTTTTTTTTGGTTGTTTTTGTCTTTTTTTCTCCTCAATTGGGTAAGATAAATTTGAGACGATGTAAATGTCATTTGCAGTTTATTTATATTCTAATTTGACAACTTTAATTTCATCGCATTCATTTTCGTTGTTCTCTAAAAAAAAAAAAAATTCATTTTTAATCGTTGTTTCAGTCAATATATTATATATTCACAAGATAATTTAGTTCTTAAACTTTCGTTTATCATTATAATTTATAATTTATTAGGATTAAAACTTCAAATTTAGTGTATGATATATAATATAGTTATTATCTTTCCATGTATATAATTATTTGTAGTATAAAATTTGTAATTATGTGTTACTAATGTTAAAAATGTCTGTTTTTGCAAAGGAAAAAAAAAAGTTTGTTAGGTATGGGTTTGATGGTGCAACTGCATAGATACTACCAAACATTTGCTTGTTTTATGCACAAGTTATTTTTATTTTTGCACACACAAGATTCGGCAAATGTTGTTACGTCAATTTTTAATGGTACATTACACATTTTAATGAGCTATGGTATGTGTTGCATAAATTAAATTATATAATTAATTTGTTATGGATTATATCATTAATTAAATGGTTACAAATTTCAAATTAAATTAGACTAAAATTACGTGCTATAGTTTATGGACTAAATTACTACTTTAATAAAAGCAGATGAATTAGATATGTTTTTTTTTAACATGTTGTCTTACTCTATTAATTTACTAAGAATGCTTTTTGTACCTCTGTTGACTTTAGCAAATTTTAATGAATATAGTCACCTACGTTGAGGTCTCAATTTTTCCGAGAAAGAAAGAAAAATGAATAAAACTAGTCAATGTATTAGTAATTTATCCTAAAAGCTCGTTTAGGTTATTTCTTCAGTAAGGTAAAAAACATTGTTTATGTATAAAATTTTGGTCATAGCATCAAGAATAGCTTTCGATGTACTATATTTTATTTTGTTAGAAACGATGTATAAGTTTTGTGGTAAAAAGTCCATTACTACATGAATATCATACTATTTAGGATATATATTATCAACAAAAAAATCGAAAGTTCATGTCACATATTTCGAACAAAAAAGTCTTTGAATCCACGTATACATGAATAGAAATATTACGGTAATTATGCTAAATTTACAATTAAACTAACAATTATATTGGGAAAAAATCCACCTCACTTTTATTTTGTACGATAATTTCATCCACTGAACCTTTTTGTCTACCAATTCCAAAGAATAAATTCACCACAACACTGCATCCATTTAATGCTTAGTTGAGAATATATTTAATTGTATATTTTGCATAAAGGTTTTGGTCCAGTGAATCTTCCATATAAATAAATATAGAATCAATTGTTGTCGTAAAAAAGGTAAATATATAGTCTCATATACTTTGAATCCAAATTTAATCAAGGGTGGAAGTTAAAATTGGGAAAAAAAATGATACGTTTTACTAAAATCGGAAAGATAACAAAACGACATAAATATTAGAATAATTTTGTTGTCCACACCGTAGTTTTATCTTTATAAAAAATTATTAATGTTGGTAAATCCCATCTTATTTTTAATAGGATTATGATAGACAATTAATGTAAACCATTGTGGATGATACATTGGTTCAAAAGGACTAAGGTTAATCGAGGGAAATATCGAAATAACCTGCACAAGAGAGAGGTAAAGAGAGTACATTTGAATTTGAATTTTTTAACTAGATAAAGTGAGATAAATATTAATTATTGATAAGTATATAAATAAATAAGTATATATATGTATATAAATTATTAAAAACAAATTTAAAATATTCATAAATATCATATTACCATTTTATAAAATTAATTTTCAACAGTTTTATTGGGTAAAACTAAAAAGTCAGATTGAGAAATTATGATATCTCAAAGGGCGTTATTTAGGCTTTAATATTTTAAAGACAAAATTGGGAAATCATATAAAGTTTTATTTATTTATTTATTTTTTTGAATAAATATAAAGTTAAGGTACGGTATGATAGATTTGGTAAAATAAGAAATAAAAAGAAACATTTAAAGCAAATTTGAATTGGCGATGAATTTGAAATGTAATAATTCGATCCCACAGAAATTATTGAGTCCAATCCAATTTCATTATCGGTTCATCAACATCATCAGAGAGAAATCATAAATACTTCGAAATTATTGAGCCGAATTCTCCAGTCTCCATTATCAACCACGACGAAGTTATTGAAGTTTTAAATCAATCCTGGAGAAATCTCGTGAATCGCAGAAACCAACCCCAACACGCCATCAATATTCGCTTCTCCCTCCATTTTTTCTCTCTCTGCAAATTCGAAAACCTTTCAGTTTCTTCTCTGTCACTTCGCCATCGAATTTAATATCCGAAACTGATCACATTCTCGTATGAAGTCGCCCTTTAAATCCCCCAATTTTTCCGAATCCTGCAACTCGACGGGCCGTCTCCTGCGAGTGGTTGATATTCTCCTGGAGGAAGAAGACGACGGCGCCGGCTGTGACGGAGATTTTGGTATGTCCGACGCCGGAGAGCGCCTTCCGGATGAATCGCCGACCCTTCAGTGTTTGTCTCCCCGGCGGATTATTGCACGGTGGGTGGCTTCGTTCAGGCGACTGAAGCGGAGGAGGGAGGCGGAGGAGGTAAAGAGAGTGAAAGAGGGCGGAGAATCCGATGGTCGATTGACGCCTAGTAGGTGCTCGAGGAATGGAGTTGATGGCGGCGCTTCGTCATCTTCACCTACGGAGAGCGCGGGGCCAGGTGAGCGAGTATGATTTAATCTATCGGCGCTTGCGTTTTTAAGCGATTGAATGTGCTTTGTTGTATAGAGACCATTTCGAGTTCGAACCAGCTTTGCTATTGTATCTATCGCTGTTTGACTGCGTCGATTGAAATTTTAACCAAATCGATTAGGAACTGAGGAAATGACAATATTCTAATGCCGGATTGCGATTTAGAAGTCCGAACTTTATGAAATGGAATAGTTAATTCTTCATAAGATAGCAACAAATTTATGGAACTTCTCTCAAACGCACTTGTTTGGTTTTTCTGAACTGTTTTTAATAGTTTGAACTTCGTGCATCTCTATTTTCGCTGTTGTTTTCTCCAACGTTACAATTTTTTTGTGTGCCGAAATTCACAGGGCTGAGTAGGAAAGAAGATACGTCATTCAACTTGGGAGTTGGGTGTAGTTTATTGTATCTTGTACTTGCGAGTAGAAATGAACTTTCTAAGATGGCAGATTTGAGGAGACAAATGGAACTTTTTCTTCAAGATATCAAAGAGGAGCTGAGAAGAAAAGGTGATCCCTTCGAGCCATTCCAATTGAATACAGATTTGGCGTGTTCCTCCACAGATTGCCAAGAAGGTCCATGCTCCACCAGCCAGCTTTCATATCAGCAAGATTTTTCGTCTCAAATTTTATCCGATGCACAATCAACTATACCGAATCATTCTTGGAAGTCTTGTCCGCACGAACAAGGGGAATGCCAGGAACGCATCGACGAACTGGAATCTGAGTTTGAGGCCGAGTTAGAACGCTTGCAGATCCACTTGGAAGTTGAGAGTTCTTCTGGACGCATTGAGCAACTAAGAATCAAGGTATGTGCGAACATACTAAGATTTATAGATTAGCTTTCCCTCACAAATTGATTTCACATGATTGGTTGGTTTGGTAATGCTCTCTTGATTTTGATCCAAGCTTCATAAGATTGAGAATATGATGAATGATATTCTTATGTCCTGATTTGATATCATTACTTATGATGAACTTGGTTTTGCACCTTTTGCTACATAACTTCGGTGATACCACTTATTCGTAGAAAGATGTAGAAGATAACATGACTAGAAAAGCAGGTTCAGTTATAACTATGCAAATGAAAAAAGTTTATCTGGGCAGGAGATGTTTATGTGATAGGATTGCATAGATCTATGCTAGTTCATGATCACTCTGCCTACTTAAAATTAAAAAATGGTGGATGACACTGGTTCTTTAATTTCATGGAGTAAATACCTAATGATTTGATTGAGGGGGTGAAATCATTGACATATATGATTGGAAACAGAAAATTAACTACCAAGTAAAGTAATATGAGTACTTGATTGGCCTAGTGGTCAATAGTCAATGTAAACAGTACAAAGGTTCGGAGGAAATGAGTTTAAACCATGATTGGCCATATATCTAAGATTTAATATTCTACAAGTTTTTTTTTACAACCAAATGTAATGGAGTCAGGTGGTTGTAGTCGATGAGTATGCAAGCTGGTCCAGACACTTACAGATATTAAAAAAAAAGAGTACCCTTTCGCTCTATTTATAACGTATCCCTGCTAACTTATCCCTTAGCTTATTTACTAATATATCCTTAATATTCTAATAATATCCCTAACTTAGAACCGAGTTGCATTTCTATCAATATATTGACGATAATGTATATTCTGTTGTATGTTCAATTCTTTGATTGCAAGTTCTGAAACTGTCAATGTGAAATGTCAGACTGCAAAAAACGCCAGCTCGACAAGAAGTTGCCGTTGGAGTTCTAGCGAGGTCATTGATCCGCAAGAAGATGGCACCGAGGGGCAACATGGAGTTCCTCCCATAGAATTGGAAAGAAAGTTGCACGAACTGCTCGAAACAAGGCAGCAAGAACGGATTAAAGAACTCGAAGGCGCTTTAGAATGTGCCAAGCAGGAACTTACTGATAAAGAATCTGAGGTTTCTTGGTGGAAAGAAACTGCAAAAGTTATTTCTCAGCACATTCCAGTTCATTCACGTCTTAGACTTGCTTCTCAACACGATCAGCTTCAGTTACTTCGGTAAGCATCATTCTACAACTTACCAAAAGGTTTTCAGATAGATTAGTGTTCTTAAAATGATGACTGATGCTTTTGTTACAGCCAATCAAGTCTTTGTGTTGTAGCTTTTTAAGGCAAAAAATCACGTTTTTGCCTATATTTTTTTTCTTCTAAAGTGTCGTAGTCATACACAGCTATATTGATCTATTGCTTCACTAACATTACCTTAAACGTAAATGGTCTATACAATACAGACACTTTAATTTGAGTAACGAATTTACATGTGTTATTGTCTTGAATTTTTGGTAAATATCGTGTCACTGTGTCCGTGTGTTTGTGTCGGCGTCTTTGAGGATGGTACGTGACACAAGTTTGTGAATCAAAGTTGGACTAGTGGGACTCAAATCAAATCTAGTGAAGTCAAAATGATATTTGAAATAAGATGGAATTTGATTGTCATATTCATGCACTTATGAATTGTGTTCATTTAACCAGAAAGGTCAGGTTCCAATGATGATGAAAAGGATATAAAATATACCGAAAGTAGCCCTCTGGTTTACTTTATTCTGAAGATGCGCACCGTAGACGGCCATAGTGAAACAATGGTCAATTCACAAATCCACAAATCACAACAGACAACACAAATCAGATTCCTTCTTATCTTAATCTGATAGTGTCCCATTGGAAATTCTCTTCCTATTATTTTGGCAAGTCCAAAATTGTGTAAAATTTGTAGGCTAAATTACCTTTTTAGGCTTTATTTAGTTATGATTTATATACTTATCCTTTTAAATGTTTGATAATTATCATTATCTTTTAAACTATCACTAGTGAAGTTGAGGAATTCTATTCTAACATGTTTGTTTGCTCAAAATAGAATTGAACCAGGATTATAATCAAGTCGATTTCAAAAAACATACGACACACGTTTTTTTAATATAGGGTTTGTGTTACATATCACAATGAGAAATTTGCCTATGTGAAAAATGTACTTTGTATATGGTCTAGTTCCTTGGACATTGGATTGACGACGACATGAGTTGTAGGATTGAAATCTTGAATATGAAAGTAATAGACGTTTTGTCTACTAAGCTATTCTCGAATTAGAAATTTAATATAGGACTCCACTTCTAACGAAAAAAACTACACAAAAAACTTTTGGATAGATTAAAACATAAAATAAAAGAAAATCAAAGTTAAATAACTTTTTCCAAAAGGTGATGTATGTTTTTTGAAATTTTAAAGGTACCACATAAGCAATTTTTTACACCAACCGTCCAATCACATCAGAAACTATTTATTGTTAGATATTTTTTCAAAATTGGCCTTTTGAAAGATTTTATCAATTCATTTACAATATCAAAAAGAAAATTGTGGGCAGTCCCATTCATTCTTTTTTCCACGACTTATGTCCACATATTAAACCTTCTGTCCATAATTTATAACAAATATAATATATAATATAGACATGGGAAAAAGCATTGCAAAGTATCATCTAATTTAAAATAAGTACACCATCTTATAGAATATATTTCCTTTCACGTAATGATACTCTATTGATGAAAAAACAAACGATGGGTAGATTTCTCTTTTTTATATATATATTTTTTCTTTTTAGAAATAACGATGGGTAGATTTCATTTATAGGAAGATACGATGCGTTATATATAATAAAAGAAAATTTATATATTATATTATAAATCATAGTTTTCTATGTCATTGGTTAGTGTCATTTTAATGGAAAATTTGACGTATTAAATACAAGTTTGATCAATTTGGACAATTATACATCTTAATGACTCGATTCAACGAAACAATACTTAATAGGATAAATTTTGGATGAGGTTACATAGTGCAACAATTAGTTAGACAATTACAACTTTTGATATAAAATGTCAAACCCATCATACTCTGCACCCACCATTAAAGCCTTAATTATTTTTTACCACGCATTTATAATTTGTTCGACTAGCTATCAAATCAAGTTACTTCATTTAAATTTATTTTAATTGAATGCAAATGATCAGTGTTAAATCGAGATAAGTTCAATTCAAATATTAGATATTATTATTTTTTATATAGTTCATACTTCATAAATTTAATAAACATAAGCATAAATCAAGACATATATTCCCGATCAAAATATCGAGTTGAAATCTCCATCCTTACATATTAATGTACTAAAAAAAGGTATACATAATGCTTGAAATACGACATTTATTATTAACCAAATATATGGTCAGACACGGGTGCCAATTACCACTAAGCTAAGCCCATATTAGTATTGTTATTTAACTAATTGAGCTATATAATGATGTAGTTCCAAATGATGCTCAAAATGATACGTGATTTAATATCAATATGTTATGTAAATTTATTTTCATTACTTATATATATGCAAAATTATAATTATATATCAATATTTGATAATCTAAGTTATTTAATATACTTTAAAATAGATAATATTACTAATTTATTTAATATTATATAGTTTATTTCAAATATAATCCGATCAATTTTAATGGTGAAAAACAATAAATTAAAAAGAGAATAAATAGAAGGTAACTCTCTTTTAAGGAAGGTTAATTTTTATTTAATGAATTTGAACCGATTTAGTCGAAAAGATAAAATAAATAAATTTAAAAACCGAGTCCATTAAAATTGAAAGAAATTTATGAAATTTTTAAGTTCCAAAAAATAATTGCATTTAATTGAATCTTTTTTTTGAACAATTGTATATATTATTAGTTTGTAATTTCAATATTATAAGAAAATAATTTTTGTGAAAAATATATTATTTTATATTATAAATTAAAATAAATGAAACAATGTTATAGTATATATATTATATGTTATATGAAAAATTTGGAGTGGATAGTATTAGACGATCATTTCACTTGCTTGTATCTTAGGTCGGGCCTGTATAGTTTAATTTTTATTTTTTTTTTAAGACAAGTCATATTTGAATTCGAACTAGATTATCTAAAAAAACCTTGAATTCACACTATTTATTTATTTTGTTGAGTACGATATATGAAGTAAGGATTTGAATGATATTTTGATCCGAGATAAAAGTCACTATTGAGAGATATTCAATAAAATGTTGATATTATCATATTTCCAAAATTGCAAGTGATAGTTAAATGTGACAGATAAGGCAGCATCCATATCTAAATTAAAAGAGAGAGTATATTTGAAAAGATTTTCGGGACAATCCTGACCGTTAAAATCTACGGACGGTGGAGATGGTTTTCAACCCAAAGGAGGGGAAAAAAGAATATCAGCATTTTTTAGGGGGTTGGCGTCAGAAACCCTAATCGCACTCGCACATACGTGTCCGGTTGAAACGCGATGCTATAAATTGGTCTCCTCCTCTTGACTCGTACCCTCCTCCTTCCTCCCGTTTTCCTTCCGCTTCCACCAAAAACCCACTGTTCAACACACAACTCCACCAGGAAGCTGTAGAAATTTCAACCATGTCGGACGAGGAGCACCACTTCGAATCCAAGGCCGACGCCGGAGCCTCCAAGACCTACCCTCAACAGGCCGGAACCATCCGCAAGAACGGCCACATCGTCATCAAGAACCGTCCCTGCAAGGTCATTTCATCTTCTCTCTTTTTTCTTTTTTATTGCCACGATTTAATCTCCTCGTCCTCTTGATGATCCGGCCTTTCGTTGTTGCGTCTTTGATTTGTGGTTTCTAGGGTTAAATTTTGGATCGGATGTTTTAGGTTTTGCTTGATTTGATTTTATTTGATTTTTTGTTTGCCTTGTAACTGATTTAGTCTATTCTGTGCGACTTGTATCGCCTTTGACGTGCTGGACGTGATCGATGGGCATGGGCGGTGAAATATTTCTTCTCATTTTGAGTGTTGTATTGGATTGGAAAGAAATAGACGAATCTGATGTTGAAGTTACCTATATACTGCTAGATTTATTAATCTATCTATTTGGCGAGGGTTTTTGTAGTTACGATTTAGATGAGTTTTTTGATGGTTCATTTTTTGTTCGGTCAACGATTAATTTTCAGTTTGCTATTTTCTCCTCCACCCTCTCTGGGAGGACGCTGGTATGAACTGTGCAGTTGTGATTTGAATTTTGATTTTATGACGGAGACGAAAATTTTCCCGGTGTAATAAATTGTAAGGGGCGTTTTTGTTTGTTGAGACTATTATTGATATCCTTTATTGTTGTCGAAAAAAGTTAATTGAGCTTCCTAAACTTACAGTTTCTGTTTTGTGAACAATGAACTGTTGATATTTTTAGCCATTAAAGTAGACAAGCTTCCATTTTAAGCATACTCTCGAGGCAATATTTATGCTATTTTTTGAAAAATTTATCTGTTTTGTATGATAATGCAGGTGGTTGAGGTTTCAACTTCTAAGACAGGCAAGCATGGACATGCAAAGTGTCACTTTGTGGGCATTGACATCTTCACTGGCAAGAAGCTCGAGGATATTGTTCCATCATCCCACAATTGTGATGTAAGGAGAATATAATCTGGCTTGAAAATCATTTTTCATTGAGTAATATGATTTACTAGTACCATTAATGGATTTTATTTTGTGCCTTACAGGTTCCTCATGTGAATCGTACTGATTATCAGCTGATTGACATTTCTGAAGATGGATTTGTGAGTAATTTGTTTATATGAATTTGTTCAAATCAATTTTGTCTTTGTGATGTTAAATGTGATTGCTCTGTTATCTTGATATCTTTGGAAATCTACGCATGTTACCGTTCGTTCTTAATAGTTAATAATCAATTCTAGAGGTTAATACTCTGTTAAATTGTCCAATCTCGTTGGTTTGGTCATAGCTTATGGCAGTTGGTTATTATTGTTATTTTCAGAGGAGGAACTTGAAAGTAAAATAGCAAATATTAATGTGAAGGATTCATAGCAAGCATGCATCGGATTCATACATGTGATTGCTTGTGAAGTCTATTTGATCAGTCATATATTTTTATTTGATGTTTTGATTTTGCTGCAGGTGAGTCTGTTAACTGACAATGGTAACACTAAGGATGATTTGAGGCTTCCCACTGATGACAACCTGCTCACTCAGGTAAGCCACATATGAATCGACTCTTATCGTTGAAGTTATTCGAGCAGATGTTATTCCCATATTTTGTACATTTGGGTGTTAGAAGGAACCCGATTCCCTCCCTCGGCCCCCCTCACCCTATTGATATTCTATTTCTAAGATACGTGATCCATTCCATATTTCTTTGTTCGCAAATATTCCATCTCTGAGATGACTTTTTGTTTACTAAAAGCAAACGATCATGGGTTTGTATCCACAGATTAAAGATGGATTTGCTGAAGGGAAGGACCTTGTTGTGTCGGTGATGTCTGCCATGGGAGAGGAACAAATTTGTGCCCTGAAGGACATCGGCCCGAAGAATTAGCTTCTACACAAGCTAGCTGCTAAGTTGTGGTCGGTCCCCGGGTTCCTCTGATTGAATCTTTAAATGGTATAATTAATTAGCAGAGACTTTGTATCTGTTAACGTTTCACTCTCCCGTCCCTTTCCCTCCCCTCCCCTCTCACCTTCTGGCCCAGGATTGTATGGTTGGTTGGTTCATCATTACTGTGTTTTTATGCTGTGTTATTTTATGATATTGGTGTAATGTTATTGGGTTTTTGGATGCTTACTTTGATAATCGAAGTGAATAATTTTTGCTAATGCAGTTGCCTCTATAATGTTTTTTATTGGTCTTGAAACTCTTTGGGTTTGGCTTTTCCTGCGAAAACTGTTTATTATTCAATAAGGAGATGACAGATTCCGAAACTACTATTTTGATGGGTTTCTATATATAGATTTTTATGTTGAATAAATTTAGGATTGTGAAATTTATTTTAGATTTTATAATTTTTTGTTTATTTATATTTTTCCACATCACCTAAATGGAAATGGGTCAAACATTTACATTTTTTCTCTGTTTGAAATTGATTGTATGGTGGATCTTTGAGTTGATTTTCTTTTTTCTTTTGCGAAATGCTAAAAATATGTTTCTACTTTTATATCAGCTTTTAAGGAGTCTCAACGGTCGTGGTGGTTGAGCATTCTTTTTACTTTTTGATTTAGAATCTTTTCGTTGTTAAACGTTCTGTTCCGTCTCCATTTCAAAATCTAGCTGGTTATTTTGTTTGTTGCCCTAAGATTTATTTCTAATTCTGGAAAGGAAAATTTTCACCACTAAAGAAAGTAAAAAAGTCGTCTCTAGTTTTTAGTATTATTTCATTCTTTCAAAGAGGCGTCCATAGATTCTTTGTTTTTGTTACCATTGATTTCTACTTCTGAAAAGGAAAATTTTCACACTAAAGAAAGTAAAAAAGTCTTCTCTAATCTTTAAAATTATTTCATTCTTTCAAAGAGGCATCCATAGGTTGGATCGGATTAAGGGAGTCATTTGGACCAAACTTTAGATTAAGGAATCTGAAGTTTTTGGAGGATAATCAAAAGTCGTTTGTTCAATCGATCAAAAAATATTTTAAATCGAAAAATCGAGAAACAAAACTAACCTAATCTCATTTTTATGGTTTTGGTTGGGTTGTCCAAGTTATTCAAAACACTGATTTTTTTAACATTTTTAGTTGGAGTCTCGTGACACGTGCAAGAATCGGGAAATTTCGAAGCTTTTCCCATTAAATTTAAATTTAATTTTTTAAAATTACAATGGAAGATATCAATTATTTTAATTATTTCAAATCGGTTATAAAATATAAGTTATAATTTCTCTTTCCACCAACCAGAAATCCCATGAGTATACACGAAATCCATATTTGTTTCAGACACAGTGTCCTAAGTAATTATTATCTAAAGATAAAAATAACCCATAAAATATGAAATTTATTATCCTTGGAGATTTTTGTTCCTGCAAAATAAAAAAATCTATAGTTAATGTCTAAAATTTTTCTTTTGAATTCAATGAATGTGAGCGATAGGATCTTGCTCCTTCAGAGATGGGAAGACTCAATTCCTATATATATTAAATTATCCTACATATACAAAAGTCAAAAACACACATTTATTATTTCAGACATTTAACTCCCAATACGTGATCCAAATTATACAAATTTGGCTATTACGTTTAATCATTTTTATCTGAAGCTATTAATTTCGACCACAACTTGACAAAAGGCATTAAAAATTCGCCTCTACTCAACGGTACACATCTAAACTTGGAATAGTTCGTGGGCCCTCACCACCACAAAAAATTCCTAAAGCAGGCTGCAGCCAATCACGCCGCGCCAAATCAGCCCACCGCCGCCTACGGCGGCGGCCGCTTCTGCACCACCGCCGGCCCTGTCCAGTGCCGCCACCACCACGTAATTTTCTTTCTCATTAAGCAAATTTTGCTTAGGTTAAAATCCACTTCCCCTTCCCCTTTACTCATAATTCACTGTCTCCGAGCTTCTCCCGTGCGATTCATGCCAGCTACTGCGCCATTTCAGCCATTCTTCCATAGCCACATGTTCTCGAGGAGCGTTGACATTTAACCCAAATCCTCGCTTTAATCTCAAATCTCCTTGACTTGAAGAACAAATTTGCGGCAGGGTTGAATCGTGCGAAGGTCAGCGTTTTCTCTCTTTTGAAAGTAATTTGTGAACGCCCGTTATTTTGAGGCGTGGACTTTTCTCGTTTACTCGCTGATTTTCTAATGATAATGTGAGATTTTCAACTGCTTCTTTCTTTTGTATTATTTATAGCACCGTTCGTTTCGTTATAGTTATGATTATTAATAACCTCGCGTTTTCGTTGTTTCATCATTGAGGCTGACGATTTTTTCTTCGCAATGTTGTTTATTGTCTTGGTTCTTTTGGTAATGGCTGGAGAAGCCATGGCGGATTTGAACTGTAACCCCAATTCGGCTTCGGATATGTTGACACTTGATGGGATTAGAGACTCTCTAATCAGACAGGAGGATACTATAGTTTTCAGTCTCATTGAGAGAGCGAAATTCCCTCTCAATCGGAAGATGTACTATAATAATCATACTTCAATTCCTGGATTTTCTGGTTCTTTGGTTGAATTTGTGGTGAAGGAAACGGAGGCCATTCAAGCCAAGGTTAGTTGATGTTTGTTCCATGAATTTACATTAAAATCTTGGTGTCTCAAATGGCTAGAGAAGATAAAGAACATGCTGTGGATTCTGCTGTATCTCTATGTTCTGTTTCCTGTAATTGTTAGATAGCAGAGAATGATGAGACACATTGTCCATAAATGGCTGTAAATTAAATTTCAAATGTCGTTTGGCTGTTGTCATTTACAGCATAGGCCTTTGCTGCAGACTTTCATTACTTCCCGATCTTAATGGGAAAAATTCCAAATGTTAAGTTGGTACAAAGAAAGAGCAGTTCTAGTTGTTGATGCCTGTCTTTTTGGTTCATTTGTTACTTCTTTTTTGAGATCCTTGCTGATTATCCGTTTGGATTTTTCGTCAACAGGCTGGTAGATATGAAAACCCCGAAGAAAATCCGTTTTTCCCGAAAGATTTGCCTCGTCCATTGGTGCCTCCTCACAAGTATCCAAATGTGAGAGATTGTTTAATAAGTTTTAAGTTCTCCATTCTGTTTGAATAACGTGAATACAGAGCCCATTTGTTGGAAACTAATCCAAGTTTGCAGGTTTTGCATCCTGCAGGCGCTTCAATTAATATGAACAAAGCCATATGGGATTTTTACATCAACAAATTCTTACCACTGTTGGTTGCCGACGGTGACGATGGAAATTATGCAGCCACTGCTGCTAGTGATCTTGTTTGTTTGCAGGTAAAAACAAGTTTACAAAGTGCAAAACGTTGCTATTCTTATTGGGTATTTTGAGGTCTGGATGCCCTTATTAGCTATGAAAACTGACATTATCTTTTATGCCTATGACATTATCGCAGGCGCTTTCGAGAAGGATTCACTGTGGAAAATACGTAGCCGAGGTGAAATTCAGGGATACCCCCAAGGAATATGAGCCTCCTATTCGTTCTAAGGTATCGTAAATTTATCATGAAGCTGTATGATTAACAGGGTAGCCATCTTTGTTTTCTTGGTGAGAAAAAAATGAAACCAATCTTAAGGGCCACAACTACAAACATTGTTCTTGTTGAAGGGTTTGATAAAACCAAGTTAATTTACTGTTCGTTTAGGAAAGAGACACTTTGATGAGGCTATTGACATTTGAGGCAGTGGAAGAGGCGGTGAAGAAGAGAGTAGAGAAGAAGGCCATGGTGTTTGGGCAAGAAGTCACCCTCAACAACACAAGTGAAGGGAAGCCTAAGATTGATCCTTCCCTTGTATCTCGCCTTTACGGCGAATGGGTAATGCCTCTCACGAAGGAAGTTGAAGTCGACTACCTCCTGCGACGTCTCGAATGAGTCCATACGATAAATAACCATATGTAAGGGCCAAAACCAACCAATATTTTCTGAAAATTTATCGTTGTAATATGGTCATTGTATAATTTCTTCCTAACACTCCATGTCCTCGAACTCTCGAATCGACAATGGAACAAGAGACTCGGATATTTGATGATTAAACTTATGCAACAGCTCGGCTAAATTAGCTACTTTTCTTGGTGGTAATCTCCTCATTTTCAAATGCAGTTTCAAAATTGACATAGTAAAGAGGTAATCTCTTTCTTGCTTGTTACTGTTTGCAAATGGCATGGATTTGGGCATCAAAATCTGATTATTTTGTGCCTTTAGAAGTCTTTCTGGAGAAGTGATCGTAATTCAATGCAGTACTTTACAATATCAAAATATTTGTCACAGGTAAGCTTTGATCTATATTTTTAATTGCACGTTGACATCTCATGCATGAATTTGTCAACATCCAAATCACTTCACTCATGATTGGTCTAAAACCCATTTAAAACTGATGAAACATTTCATAATCAGAACCAATCATTTTAATACAAAAAGTTATTTTTTAATAGAAAAATTAAAGACAAAATATAAAATAATTCAAAATTAAAACAAAACAGTCCGTAAAAGTTTTATGTTATAATCAAAATAAATTTTAATGAACATAAAATAATTACTCTATTTACTTAGATTAAAAAAATAATCAATAAAATAAGTTTATTACTTTCAATTATTTCTAACAATAACAAAAGAAATCCCAATCCCAACCAAACCAGCTTCAAGTCAATGCATGCGATTTGTGTCCCAACACAGAAGCCACTAAAATCATGACTAATGCTTGTAATTTCACCTCAAATCGCAGTCATTACACACGATTTACCTAAAATCACAGCGATTCCACTTTAACACTTTTCGAAATACTTTAAAACTTACCATCCGTGTCATTTGAAAAAAAAAAATCCAACCCGAAACACCGGAGAATCGTAAATTTACAGTTTGCCCCCTCATTTTCCTTCGTATTTACCAGTCGTACCACCGGACTCCCAGCTTCACTTCCCTCGAAGGATGCATGCGTCCTTTTTGTATCCCCTCGCCGAATTGTCATTATTCTAAGCGCGCGCTCTCTCTCTCTCTCTCTCTCACTCTCAGTTCTCAGTTCTTTTCGTGAATGCCAAATTCTCTGAACAATTGAGCGCTAGCTCGTGTCGATCATCTTGTTCCCTGCTTCCGCAGCAGAGAGAGATCGTCTTTTCCCTGAAACTGGCGTCTGATTCGAGCGGGGACCGCCGGCATTGCGTGGATGCTCCATTCTGATCTTTCTTGCAACGGATAAAGCTCGTGGAGTCGTCCTCTGGAAGTGGCCTAGGGTTTAATCTCGAAGGTACTTGAATCTGTTACCTCCATGACTGCGTTACGGTCATTTCAATTAGTTACGAGAGTATCGGATTTCTGCTGTTTTCGTTTAGGTATAGTGAAGTTTTGAGTGTGTGTTTCGAGCATTTTAGCATGAGGATTCTTTTTCCTACGAGTTTAGTGTGTGTAGCGTTTATGTGAAGTTGTGAACTGGTGCTGGTTTAGCTTTTATTTCGGGTTTTCAATTTGTGAAATGAAAAACGTTCGTTCTATGGCTTGGAGATGGAGCGGAAAGGATAGGCTAGTTCCAATCCTCGAGTTTTAGTGTTAATTACTTCGTTCAAAGCAGGAGTTGTTGAGGATGCTTCTCCAAATCATCTGCGTACTTCCCGATGCTTATTTCTCAGGGCTGTACATGTCTAATAATGTTGATTTGATTAACCTTTATCCATGAGCAACATTGTAAATTCGTTGCTCAGTTTGATTAACGCTTCTGTTCATTCTGCCTGTTTTATGTAGAAAATTCATCAGGCTTTTTTGTGATATTATTTGTTTGAGAAATTTTAGTATTTCTATCTGCCTCTTATGTATGTTTGTATTTATTGTAGATCTTGAATATAATGGGGACATCGTCGGGTGCAAAGGACGATATAGAGATGAATAGTGAGGCAGAATACTATTCACCTGGAACTGATATGGATACAGACGATGATGATTATTCTGAGGCAGTCAACATACGCGAAATTGGGGAAGGGTTTTTAAAGGATTTCTGTAAGAAGGCATCGATGGCATTTTTTAATGAGTATGGTCTTATCAGTCACCAAATTAACTCATACAATGACTTTATAGAAAGTGGTCTTCAGAAGGCCTTTGACTATTTTGGTGAGATTGTGGTTCAGCCAGGATATGACCCCTCTAAGAAGGGAGATGGGGAATGGAGATATGCTTCAGTGAAGTTTGGTAAGGTAACGCTTGATAAGCCAAAGTTCTGGGGTGGGGCAGCAAGTGGAAAAGAGTATAACATGCTTCCTAGGCATGCTCGACTTCAGAACATGACTTATTCATCAAGGATGAAAATGAATATTAATGTAGAGGTGATTGAAACGTCTGTGTAATTTTTACTGTTTTCTTGCTTTTTGTTAGCCTTTGTATCTAATCTAATAACTTGCTAATTTATTGAATAAATGCCTAATGAGGTGTTGGATACTTGTAATGTACTAGGTGTATACTCAAAGGTTAGTCAGAAGTGACAAATTTAAAACTGGGAAAGATCAATATGTCGACAAAGATCTTTTAAGTCAAGATAACAGGGAGATATTTATAGGCAGGCTACCTGTGATGGTGAATTCTGACCTTTGCTGGATGAAGGAAGAGCAGAAACGTGACTGTGAATTTGATCATGGAGGTTATTTTTTAATCAAAGGTGCAGAAAAAGTGAGTCCATTTTCCCTTCCATTTGTCACCTTTATAGTTATGTCTTATGTTATCTACAAATTAAAATTTTACTGTTTTCTTAAATTGTACTGAAACTCATAATGGATTGTTTGTTTCAAGAGATTGTTATTTATTGACATAAATTCTTATTAAAAAAAAATTAATGACATAAATAAGTCTCCTGGAGTTCACATAATCTTATAGAGATCAGTTGTCCTGGAACAGGGAGCTGTTAGGCATAATTATTTAATCGATGTTCTGGAACGTGATCTACCTCCTGATGGGGCATAAAATTTAGTCAAGAATTTTAGTTGAACACGCTTTTATATCACCACCAACCATATTTTGTAAAAAATGATTAATTGATACCATCAACTTCTACGTCTTGTAGTTTTATGCAGATATTTCTTTCTTATTCTACATGTATATTACATCTTAGTGGCTAACTTTTGTTATTTTCTCTCATACAACTTTTGTTATCTTCTAACCACTTCAATATCATTTTCATGCTCATTCCAGATATTTATTGCTCAAGAGCAGATTTGTTTGAGAAGACTCTGGATTTCTAATATCCAAGGTTGGACTGTGGCATACAGATCAGAAGTTAAGAGGAATAGACTAATTATTAGACTAGTAGAAAATTCCAAGTCTGAAGAACTTAAAAGCAAGGAGAAAGTCCTCAATGTATATTTCTTGTCCACAGAAATTCCCGTGTGGATTTTATTCTTTGCCCTAGGTGTTTCATCGGACAAAGAAGTAGTAGATCTAATTGATTATGGCAGGGACGATCCAACTGTTCTGAATATTCTCTTTGCCTCTGTTCGTGAAGTTGATAATGATGATAAGTGGAAAGATTTTCGAAGAGGTAAAAAAGCTCTGAATTATTTGGACAATGAGATTAAAAAGACCAGTTTCCCACCTACTGAAAAAATTGAAGATTGCCTTAACCTGTATCTTTTTGCCAGCTTGAAAGGCTTAAAGCAGAAGTGTCGTTTTCTTGGTTATATGGTTAAATGTATCCTGCAAGCCTATACTGGCCGTAGAAAAAGTGATAACAGGGATGATTTTCGCAATAAGAGGTTCGAGTTGGCTGGAGAATTGCTTGAACGAGAGATTAAAGTGCATATTGCACATGCACGGAGACGCATGGAAAAGGCTTTGCAAAGAGACCTTTATGGAGATCGTGAAGTGCGCCCAATTGAACACTATTTGGATGCTTCCATAATCACTAATGGTCTATCCCGAGCATTCTCTACTGGAGCATGGGCGCATCCATTCAAGAGGATGGAAAGGATTTCGGGTGTCGTGGCAACGCTTGGTCGTGCTAATCCCCTGCAGACAATGGCTGAATTGAGGAGAACACGTCAACAGGTTGCATACACGGGGAAAGTTGGCGATGCAAGATATCCGTGAGTTACTCTGGACTTCTTATAAGTTGCACTTTTGTATTATCGGCTACCATGTTGATATGTAAACCTGTGATTATGTGCTTACCTATGTTTTTTTCTTCTTTGAGCTGTGACTTCAAGGACGCTTCTGCCTTGTCTGTAATTCTAGTTTAATAGGTTGTACTCAGTGCTACCAAACAGATTGTTTTTAAAAATTCGTAGGACTCCTCTCTCTCTGCCTTGTATGTTACAAATTTTTGAACTTCTTGGGGCTACCAAAGAACAATTTTTTAAACTTCATGGGGTTCCTCTATCTGCCTTGTCTTTAATTCTCATTTACAGATTGTCATTCATTGAGCTCGGTTTCTCGTATTAAAAAAATCTCATTTATAGGTTGTACTTGCAACAAGTTTTTAAACTTCATGGGGTTCCTCTCTCTCCCTCTCTCTTATCTATCTCTGTTACTTTATATGTGTATATACATATTCTTAAATTTATAAGAAACGTGTCCTTTCTTTTATAACGTGTGCAAATGTGCTGCCTTTACATGGAATGAGCTCATGAGATTGCAAACACCTTCCCATTGACATTTTGCTTTGAAGTTGATCTCCGCATGGTATCCACGGATGATGGAGAGGAAGATATAAATTGAATTATTTTGTTCATATGTTTCTCATTGTGTCTATGTATTTTTTTGGACAGGCATCCTTCTCACTGGGGAAGGGTTTGCTTTCTCTCCACCCCGGATGGTGAAAATTGTGGGCTTATTAAAAATATGTCCATCACAGGTCTAGTAAGCTTAAACACATTGAAGCCTATAGTTCCCACATTGTTTCGGTGTGGGATGGAGAATTTGGTGGACGATACATTTACTCCTCTTAGTGGGAGCTACAAAATTTTTCTCAATGGGGAATGGGTTGGCATTTGTGCTGATTCCGTTTCATTTGTGACAAAACTGAGACGCAAGCGACGAAGGAATCAATCACTGCATCAGGTTATTCACTAAATAATTTTTTTGATGGCTTTATGAGATTTAAACCTTTTATTTGGGCACCTAGATGCAGTCAATTGTCAATATTGTCTGGATTTTTTTTTTTGACAAGGCCATTGTCCGGATATTAATACTTCAGTGATTTACTTGGTCTACTCAGCTCGGAACGTTTTTGCACATGTATGTTGGTGTTTGCAAGAACTTGCGTACTTTATAAGCTAACCAAAGTTTTTATTCCATTTATAGTTAGTTTTTTTATCTTATTAGACTACCAGGTGCCTCATTGGGCATTTTGTTGCACTCAGTAGGCATCCCTGTTGCTCTTCTTCTTTTTCTGTTTTGTTGTCAGAGGTGGCAGATAGCTGCTGTTTATTTCCATGGACTTTATATATTTCCTTTTAATTGTTTGCAACATTTTCTGATCAACTTATATGAGATAAATCCATATAACTTTTTTCCTTTCTTATCTACTTTAGGTAGAAGTAAAAAGAGATGAACAACTGAAGGAAGTACGTATATTTTCGGATGCTGGAAGGATATTACGTCCTCTCTTAGTTGTAGAGAACTTAAACAAGATCGATAAGTCTAAGGGAGAAAATAACACTTTCCAATCCCTTTTGGACAAGGGAATAATTGAGCTTATTGGAACTGAAGAAGAAGAAGACTGCCGTACAGCTTGGGGTATTAAGTATCTGATGGAAAATGAAGGGACTACGAAATATTCCCATTGTGAACTCGACATGTCATTTTTATTAGGATTAAGCTGCGGACTTGTCCCATTTGCAAATCATGATCATGCTAGGAGGGTTCTGTATCAGTCCCAGAAACACTCTAATCAAGCCATTGGATTTTCAACAACTAATTCCAATTTTCGCGTTGATACTCTATCTCATCAGTTACACTATCCGCAAAGGCCACTTTTTCGTACAATGAATGCTGATTGTCTTGGAACACCTGGATACCTGTCATCTCACAGTGGGATATCCCCAAGACCCGAGTTCTACAATGGTCAGAATGCTATTGTGGCAGTCAATGTTCACCTGGGTTACAACCAAGAAGATTCTTTAGTGATGAACCGGGCCTCTCTGGAGCGTGGTATGTTCCGATCTGAGCACATTCGCAGTTACAAGGCTGATGTAGATAATAAAGAATCCTCCGAAAAGAGGAGGAAATCTGATGACGCAATAAATTTTGGAAAGACTCAGAGTAAAATTGGAAGGGTGGACAGCTTAGATGATGACGGCTTCCCTTACATTGGTGCAAACTTGCAGAGTGGAGACATTGTCATTGGCAGGTGTGCTGAATCTGGGGCAGATCACAGTATCAAACTGAAGCACACTGAGAAGGGCATGGTTCAGAAAGTCGTGCTCTCTTCTAACGATGATGGGAAGAATTATGCTGTTGTATGCCTGAGACAGGTAACTTAGATCTGATTTTAGATGGGCCTGAATAACACATTGAATAGCTAGGATAACTATCCTAGGAAATCATATTAGATGTGGATCTTTGATCTCTTGTAACTTAACTATCCATTCGTGTTGCTCGATTCTCAGATGCGATATCTCTTTTCTTTTGTCAGGTTCGTTCCCCATGTCTTGGAGACAAGTTCTCTAGCATGCATGGACAAAAGGGAGTTCTTGGCTTTCTGGAGTCTCAAGAGAATTTCCCATTCACCATCCAGGGGATAGTTCCAGATATTGTTATAAACCCGCATGCTTTTCCTTCGCGACAAACTCCTGGTCAACTATTGGAAGCTGCTCTCGGGAAAGGCATTGCTGCTGGCGGTTCGCTGAAATATGCCACTCCTTTCTCCACTCCTTCCGTTGATGCCATTACAGACCAGCTTCACAGGTAACTAACTGTCTCTGTAACTCTGAATATATAGCTTTTGCTTAGAAATGTTTTTTGCTCCGTTCTAGCAAAGTAGGATTAGACTAAAATGCTGTTTATATCATAAATTCGCTCTGTTCTTGGAATTTCCATTTTTCTCTTGGTAATTGAATTGGTATTTTATTCAACTTTTCGAATAGGTGGATCTCATGTCCATCGCCAAGCTGCAGTTACATTACATGCGTTTATTTATGTCGAAATCCTAATTTTCTCTTGAACTTTTAGGACTTCCATAAAATTCTATTTTAGTTTTTAATTTTACCTGTCATTAATTAAATTATTTAATAGAAACTCAACATCCATTAGTTTTTGTTCATTTATTTGATGAGCAAATATCTACCTAAATCACAAGCAAAAGAATAAAATGGCTTCTTCCCTGAAGTAGAACATTTGAAAGTAGTTGTAGGAAGAAAGTGAATTATACGAAGTTTCTAAACTTTATAAAGAATTGTAAAATTTCAATTTAGAAATCTGTGATCAGACTGATGGCGATGTTGTTGAATTGGTGAGCATGAGCAGGGCAGGGTTTTCAAGATGGGGTAGCGAGAGGGTGTACAATGGCCGAACTGGTGAAATGATGCGGTCACTCATATTCATGGGTCCAACATTCTACCAGCGCTTAATCCACATGGCTGAAGACAAGGTAAAATTCCGCAACACCGGCCCCGTCCACCCTCTCACCCGACAACCTGTCGCCGACAGGAAGCGTTTTGGCGGGATCAAGTTTGGCGAGATGGAGCGCGACTGCCTTATAGCTCACGGGGCCTCAGCCAACTTGCACGAACGCTTGTTTACCCTCAGCGACTCTTCCCAGATGCACGTCTGCCAGAAATGCAAGAATGTCGCAAGTGTGATCCAACGATCAGTGGCCGGTGGTCGCAAGATAAGGGGCCCGTATTGTCGGGTTTGCGAGTCGGTCGACGACATTGTGAGGGTGAACGTACCGTATGGAGCCAAGTTGCTGTGCCAGGAGCTGTTCAGCATGGGCATCAATCTCAAGTTTGAAACACAACTGTGTTGATCCATGGCCACCAGAATAATTGCTTCCTTTTCCCTAATCTTTTGACTAACTCTGCCACATGTTATTGTAGAAACGGAAATATTTCAGACAGACTTATTGGCGTCTCATGGAAGGGAAAAGATAATGCTGTGGCAATGTGAGCGCTCTTATCTGGCTTCTGTTATGCGTTCTGTTTATAACCTCAAATGATGGCAATTAGTGGTCGTCCCTTCGAAGCAATTTTCTAAATTTTCAGTATTTAAATTTTGATTATGAAACTTTGAAAATGATGAATTACATTTATAAAAATATTGGTAAATATATGTCATGAACTCATTTCACCTTTTAAAATCACAACATATAAAGCAATAATTATACAAAATTTAAAATATATATCTTAAAAATTTAATTAATAATATTTAAGATTAAACTAAATATTTAATGGATTAATAGTTTATAAATATATTACTAAAATAATTATTTAAATTGAGATTTAATTTTGAAATTAACTATCCATTCAAAAATATTGAAAAGATAGAATACAATTCTGTTTTTATTGAATTTATTAATTTATTAATTTTTATTTTCAAGTCACCCTTAGTATTTAGTTAAATAGTAATAAATAATTTTCTTTGCAAAAAAAAAAATATATATATATGGATATATTTTTGGATGCTTTTAGAGAATATTTAATTAGTGCTTTTTTAAAAGTGCTTGTGAGTTATAACGAGTAGAAGTGCTTTCACTGTCTCGAACTCACTCTTAACAAGATTCTCACGGCCGCCCAATATGGTGGATTCCACGTACCTCTTTACGTGCTTCGTTGAGAAGTCCACCAGGGTTGCACGTTGGACATCTGTGAGATTATTTTTAACATCAAATCAAAGGATCATTTTCCAGCACTATAACATCAAAAATAGTTCTATTATACAGATTGGGGCATGCGCCAGGGAAGGGAAGGCGGCTATGGATTAGGAAGAAATGCTCAAAAAATTCCATGAAAACCCTAATACATTAGATGGGAGAAGAAAACACCAAAAATGGTCAGTCAAAAAAAAAATAGATGAAATTCTCCGGATAAACAGGAGACATTGACTGTCTGAAATAACATTACATGAGTGGAGAGAATAATTTACCCACCTGAGGCGCCGGGTATATTTTTTTTGCCCTTTTTTTACTGTGATTTGTGGAACTTTTCAACCTCAAATGAATGGTTCCCGCAAAGCGGTGGGCAGATCTAATTCAGGCTCAAATTCACCTGGCCGTGAAAAGTAGGATTCTACCATGTCTTTACTCACATCATCTACACTGGGAGGATTCCACTGCATCATTTCGGGTAATATTAATTGTTTTACTTCACACATTCACAAAATATACCAAAAACATTCGAAATGCCTATTTACCCTTGAAAGTTACTTTTTATGAAATAGTTCGAAACTAAAATATAATAAACTTGAAAGTTTAGAACCCATTTGATGGTGATTTCAGTTATAATTTTTTTATTTTATAAAATTTTTCTTTGCTATGTTTTTAACCTTTCTTAAAAATGTATTTGAATCTGTAGCCAAATTCAAGAAACGAAACAAGTTTTCAAAAACCATTTTCAGCTCTCTAAACTTCAACTTGGATGCTGAAACCATTTTTGAAAAGCAAACAACAAAACAGAGTAGTAGCGTTGGAAAGACAATAAACCATAAATGGACTTGAAATTTAAATGAAAGGCAGGTTCGAACCTGAGGTGCGAAGTCTTTATCCACCAGCCGTGCTCGAGCACCCTATCAATGCATACAAATAAAAAATCAATAACATATTTGATTTCTTATAACATGTTTTGAAATGGCGCGCAAGTTAACCACAAATGAATTTGAAAAAGCTGAAACCTCGTAGAAGTCGGGAGATGCTCGCTTTAAAATTGCGTTGATGGATATCCTGTATTCACGAGCAAGGCATTGGTCGAGACTTTGAAACCTACCTTCGCGTATCTAACAGAACAATGGGATAAACATAAGGATTAGGGAGTTGAGGTATTCCCTAGACGAGTAAAAAATGCAAAAAACTCACAGATCTTAAAGTAACTTTCAGGCTCAATGGCGAGGCTTCTCTAAGTAACTTCAGGGTTGTAGAATACCATTCATCATAAGATTCTGCAGCCTCTTTTTCCTGAACGAGTGAATTAAGACAAATAATATTCCACCTTTATTTTCTGTTCCTTATATATATATGTGTGTGTGTGAATATATATATATATATATATATATTCCAACTTTATTAGTAGGTCAGCTTTGGCTACAGGCTTTAGTCTATGAGAATTCTGCTAAAAGAAGCGTACGGCATTTTAAAGGTTTAGAAACAGAATACAGCGCTTACCAAGGCTTCCATAATTTCCTCAACCGTGTCGTGGCAAAAGCACCTATCAATTGCGTCAAGCCTGTGGAACAAGAGAGGTTTAGAAATGATACAAATCAAGAAGGGGCAAAAAGACACAACATATAAAATCATCAATGTCCAGTAATAAATCATAGTTTTTCGTGTTTATGCGATGCAATGGCATAAGAAATGTCATCCTCACTGCTTTTGGATGGAAAACTGCACTGCACATTCACCCTGCCATTTTCCTTGACTGTCTCCTGTTTGGACACCCTTTTAGAAAGGAAAAGGCTACACTGTGGGTTCAATTTATAAGGGCTTTCTTATGGAGTCTTTGGTTGGAGGGAAACAATAGGGTCTTTAATGATAAAGTTCTTCCCTTCGAGATATTTTTTGACAGAGTTACTTTCTTAACTCTTGGATGGTGTAAATGTTTCTACTCACCTTTTAATAGCTACTCTCTTAACAATCTTATTACAAGCTGGAAGACATTCTTGTAATTGCCCATGTGGTCTTTTGTATATTTCATACTATCAATGAAATATTTGTTTCCTTCCAAAAAAGAAAAAAGAAATATCCACTAATCAACATGAACGGTGAACAAATTGGAAGATGAAGGCGTTTAAAGTACACGGCTGGTTGATGATTTATTGGTCGAAGTTGAATATGATGAAGTTCACTATTTAACTCAACCAACAAAGTTTCCGGTTGCACGCTTCATTCAGTAGGTACAAATTCTCAAAAATGGCTAGGACTTAATCTAACCAAAGAGGAAAGATGTAAAAGAGAACAATACTTGGAAAGAACACTCCTTCTATCAGGATAGACAAGATCACCATATGCGGCAAGAGATGATTCTATGACAGAAGGGTCATCTGTTATCATTTTACCGAGGCGTTCTTCAATCCCACCAAGTCGCTGCCAGAATCATATATTGATCATTAGATTCATTACAAGCTACGAAGGAATGAGAATGGGAAATAAAAAAGGATTAAGGAAAAGAAAACAAACTGCATTTAGCGAATAGTGTGTAGCAAGGCCACAGACAAGCATTTCCACCCCATTGAGTTTATCACCTGTAAGAGCCAAGTACTCCCCTGCAAGAAAGAAAATCGTCTTAGAAAAATGATTGTTTTTCATGACAAACAAGCTAAAAAAAAGTTAAATTGAGGGGCCATCGTCTATGAACCAACTAAAGAACAGCAGAGAAAATTATGCAATTAAATATGTTGCTCTTGGATGTATTACTTGATCGATTATACAATTATTGCCATCTGATCCTAACAGAGGAGTTTTCACTTTAATAAGTAGCTTTACCACATTGACGATGTTCACTTTCCATCATACTTTTTAGCATTATTTTATGCTTCAAGCAAACCCAGCCATGAGAAATCTTCATCGGTGCACCAATTTCAGAAGCTTATATCTCTAGGTTTTATCCAGTTTTTGAAGGATGGATTTACATTGTGTCCACCAAAATAACTTAGTTTGGAATAAATTTTATATGTTCTATCTTCCAATTGATCTATTTTGAGGCAACCAACTAAAAATGGAATGGAAATTGTTACCACACCCAAAACTTAAATCAATTGTTAATTTACTGTCATATTGATCAGATTTATACGTACGAGAGAAAAGAAGTCACAAATAGCACAACTTGTATATTACATGCACTACCTAAGTAGCCAGGAAGACGAGAAAGATAAAAGGAAGCTCCAGCATCAGGATGGAAACCCATTCGAACCTCAGGATGAGAGAAAACCTGTAATAAAATACGTGTAAAACGTACAAGAAGCAAATGTGGAGACTCAACCCCATTGACTTCAAAAAATAGAAGGAATATTGAAGATTGAAGAAGATTACTCTTTCTTGTGCTAATTGTGCTTCTATTACATACGAATGCTTTGAACATTATTTTGGAAGAAAATCCTAATCTCATTCTCAACTACGTGGTCCCCCAGAATTCCAAAATTATGAAATCTCAGAAAGTCTATTGCTATCTATTCAGAAAGATATCATACACTCAAACAAACAAATTCATATGATATGCAACTCTTAATATTAACCATATCTTGCTCAAGTATTAGCTACCCATCTTTGATCTATTAAATTTATTCATTTTCAAATGCTTAAATTCATTTACTCAAATATCATGTTTTAAAGCATGTATAATGAGCAACATCAAATAAAAATCATCTAGATACCTAGATACAAAAACATCACAAAAAGGTCACTCCACTTGGTGCAACTGTATTCACTTACAGTTTTATCAGTCACCACTTTGAACATTCCTGGAAGAGAAATCCCAGCCCCACCTCCCATCATGATACCATCCAACAAAGCCACCTAATAAAAATAATGATTACAGGCTACAAATTTTTAAAGGCAGGGTAAAGTTTATATATAGATACATATATAAACAAATTGAAGAAAGAAAAGTATAAAAATTGCATATTGAAAGATCTGCAAATTCACTCAACTAACTCTTTAACCTCAACAGTAATCCTAGGCCAAGAGAAAAAATCATAAAGGACTGATGAGCTCTCTCTCGTAAATCACAATACCGAAGATTTCAACAGAGGCCACGAAGAGTTCTTGTTACTCACATGTGGCTTCAAGTAAGTTCCTTGAAGATACACAAATTTGTATAATGTCTCAAAGAACTTCTTGCAGTCTTCAACATTCCCTGCGCCCAAAAGAAAAAAGGATTGACTAAAGGTTCTAACTCATTTGCAATGAAACAATGAATCCCCATTTGAAGCACCATACACTGGATGTAATATGATAGAAAACATGAAGTGTAGATTCAGTTACAAGTATGGCAACTATAAAAATCAATGGAGGTGCATTAATGTCTAAAATGACCAACTGTGGGAAATATTTCCATAGTGTGCCACTGTCTAATTCACTAAACTTGAAAACCTTCAATCGAAGTTTTCTTTGCTTCATCTGACCAAACTGGTTTAGAACAATAGGCCATTACTTCTCTTCTTTATCTAAATACATCTTATCCTTGAAGTTAAGATATATTAAGAGAAATGTAAACATGGTAGTAATGACTTCCAAGTCCAAAGCATTAAAGGTCATCACGAAATATAAATTGAATTCTGGTTCTACCTATCATCTTCAAATTACTCGAAAAGGTCTTAGCACTCAAAAGTATGTGACAATCATACAATTTTTAAGAAACTGATTAATGTTTGCCATTCATAATGAGATTATTTAGGTATGTACACGATGTTAATGCCTAATTGATTCCTTTGAGCATTCCAAATACTTAATTGCCAAACTGAATCCAATAAAATTACATGATCTTACAAACACCTTAACCAATACCAATGATTAGTTTGCTAGACTGCGACTCAAATCATTCAAAGACATCTCACCTTCATTCGATAGATGGTAAAGGTTAACAACGTCTGCACCGGAACAAAAAGCCCTGCCACTACCCTTCAGGAAGAATAAAATGAAGCAGCTCAGGTACGGAGGCAAAACAAGTGCGAATAATTAAACGCAAGCTATAGCACCACACAGATTAAGAGGTTTCTGACACTAGAAATAGAAAAATTAAATCGGAGAAAGTGTACGAAGTTGAACGTCCGTGAATGCAGACATAAACTAGTCCACACCTTCATCAAGACAAATCCGATATTGGAATTTTCCTCCCACGACTCATAAAGCCTGTTCAGCCGAGCTACCTACAACAAATACAGCTTTTGATTTCACATATTTCGATGAGATAATTACGAACCAAACAATACAGTAAGCGAAACTCACGCCACGGAAAGGAAACAGAGAATCAAAATTAGAAAAAGAACCATGGAAGTAGTGAGAGCATTAAGCGCCGATGGTCTGTTGAGGATAGCTGCTCTTGATTTCGGTCTTCCTTCCACTAGAACCTAAAACATCACATAAACAGCTCGTCAGAACAAAACCGATAACTGCTCAGCAAGTTCCTCAGAAAATTAATCAAGTCAGGGAGAGAAAAACAGACAGAAAGAGGCGCATTGCTGCGTTTGATCCGTTGTTAACAAACTGAAGTAGAACTCCGAATACAAACCTGGTCTGAAAGATCATCAGTTTGAACATAGCTTGGTAGAGCAGAGAAGCCTCTCCTAAGGTTAGAAAAATAACACAGACGATGAAATGAAGATCTCCTCACTGCTTCCAGAGCCTTGAATCTCTGCATCTCTCTTCTGGAAATCGGCGCGAATTGTTCTAGGAGCTACAATCTTTGTTCTTCGTCTCTACTGCTTCGAAGCTTAGAACACACTTTCAAGCGAACTCTGAAGTCCGAAACGTAAACGATATTAGAGCGACTCGGAGAATTTGCTGCGTATTGCGGCTACGAGACCGTTCTTGATTCAGAGATTCGCGACTATCTGGTGTTTGGTTGGAGGGAAATTAGCCCATTTCATTTCCCGCTGGTTCCAGAGAAAAGGGCCGAAGGCTCCTTTGTAATTAGGCCCAAGCCCAACAATCTGGGAACCTGGTCCAATTTATGGTCCATGTATACTATTTTTTCCTTATTTTTTTTTGGGTAGATGTGGTGACCGTGGATCGAATATCTGATCCCTGAGGAAGAAAATGTTTTAACCGTCGAGAGTTTCGCTCGTCTTGGTGAGGGAGGAAGGGTTCCGGGATATCTTGAGGCCCTTTTTCGTATATTTCATCATTAGCAACCCCTAGCAACCCCTATTTATCGATCATCAAAAACATATGTTTGATCAGCTCCCCTATTAATATTGTCTTGTAATTGCCCATTGTATATCTTTACTAACTCCATTGCAGTTCCCTCGATGTACTACTATGCATAGCTGAGGAAGATAATAAGGGCAGAGATTTTTGTTAACAATGTCTTGTGCGTTGCTCAATGCTTCTCCATCAATTGTAGTGGGAATGATAGGAATAGGAGACTGGAAGAAAGAGACCATCTTTTTTTCTAGGTTAGCCCCGGAAAATGAAAGCTCTTCATTACCATTGTTATTCATCAATGCACACTATCCTCTAGGTACTTCTAAATTTAGTTTATGTTAGTCTATGTACTTTCGAAATGTCCATCTTGATCATTGTACTTTTAATTTTTATTTATTTTAGTCTCTATACCTTCAAAACGTCTATTTTGGTCCATGCTCTTAAAAGTGACTATTTTTTTTATAGAAGACAATTTTGATTTTAATACATTCATTTTCATTTTGATCTCATTTCTTTTGATAATGACACTTCAGACTATATTTTTTGAAATGTTATCATAAACTTGTATTAAAGGGTTTTCATTATGTATAACATTTATGTCAATATTTTGCAAATATAGACTAAATTGGTAATTTTTTTAAAAGTAAAAGAACAAATACGCCTAGGTTTTGAAAATACAATGACTAAAATAATTTTTTAAAAGTACAATAACCAAAATAGATATTTTTTGAAAGTATAAAAATGAAAATCAACCATATTAGAATAGTACTAATATTTAAAATTAATATTAGGTTATGTATTTAGCATATTCATAGAAAAATAACGTCTAACATTTAAAAATCAGTCTTAAATATTTATGACAAGTACACAATAAATGAAACGAATGCATTCGAATTTTCTTTTCGTATGTTTAATAGAAATAAAATGATCTACAAATATTTGCATTATTTCTATAATACTTAACTACAATATTACAGCACTTATTTGGATCAATGAGTCAACCTATAATAGTTCAATGTGAGTTTAATTAAAAGTAGTTACAAATTTAATATTTAATTAAATCTAAAATATTATTAATTAATTTATAATCGTATATGTTATAAATTTGTATAATTATTATTTTACATATTTCAGTTTTAACAAAAATAAAATGAGTTTATTATTTTAATACAACATCTGAGATAAGAGTGGGAGATCAAACTCACAACCTATATGCCAATTACCGTTAAGCTTGACTCGTTTTGACAAAATAAAATGAGTTTATAACACGAAATAATATATTTATCAATATTTTTTTATCATTTCTACTAAATGTAATTATGCAATTTTAAAGTTTCAAATTTAAAATCTAAAAATACTGATAACACACCAATGTTCTTTTTAGAATTTCCAAATTTGAATCACATAATTAAAAAAAGAAATATTTTCCGAATCTATCTGAAAATAATAAATGGAATTCGGATTACATACCAAGCAGACCTATCGACTTGACTTGAGTTAGAGTAAATTTAATTAGCCACATGAGTTGTAGTGTAGCTTGATTTTCTTGCAGCTTCATCAGACCATCATTCAAGAGCAACTCAGCTGGAAAAAGTAAGGCCATTCTGTATGGCCTTAACAGGAACAGTATAAGGAGAATTCCAGTCAGCTTCAAATACTTCTTGAAGTTGCTTAACAATGGCTAGATTATATGTTCCAAAGCTGATTCCAGAGGTTGCATAAAAGTAATCCCATTCAAGATTGCTTGTTCCTATGTGTGCTCTAACATCACTAACAGCAAACTTTCCATGCTGAACTCTGCCAAAACCCGGATATGTATTTTTCGTTCTCGTTCCGTTGGGGAAAAGTGCTGGTCCAGTCTCGTTGTAACCGGGAACCACATAGTACTTGATCTCAACTTTGCCAAAACAATCATTGAATTTTGAGGAGTTGCAGAGGATGTTCGAGTAGAGGAGAGACTTGAGGTATGGATCCGTGCTCTCGACAGAATGCGTCCAGTACGATACCAGTAACTTGACTGTAGCATTTTTAGAGAAGATGACCTATAATAGTAAATGGTTTTGTCAAGATCCAAAATCTAGAATGCAAGCCATTTTCTACCGGATAGTACAAGATGTGATAACCTCAGCATGAAAAAGCTTGTGGTTTAGGAGGTAGAGGTAGTAGACAGTTTCACATAATGTCATTATGTCAATACTCGACATTAATAGTATCATGGCTTACTTTTTCCATTTGTTAAGGTCTCCGTTTTTAGTTTTCTGTTTTTGAAAGATTTTTTTGCATTTCTCGAAAACACATTCGTATTCTTAGCTAAATTTTGAAAACCAAAATACAAGTTTTTTAAAACTACTTTTTTTAGTTTTTAAAATTTGCCTTAGATTTTGAAAACGTTCTTAAAAGTAGGTAGTGAAACAAAGAAATACACGAGTAAATAGGGTTAACAAGCTCAATTTTCAAAAGCAAAAAACCAAAAACAAAATGGTTATCGAACAGGGTCTAAATATTTTCATAAGATTAGCAACCTCAGGAACGGTCGTCTCTAATATGATTTGAGTGTAATATATTTCCTACGACGTTTTTTAATAACAAGAATGGCAGTAAGATGTATCATTAGCCACAGAAGCAGGCAGGTAAAAGCCACGCAGAAACTTACCTCTGATATTGCAGAAGACAAGGAAGACCAGTAAACTGCTGGTGTGGTAAATTGAGACTGACCAAGCCAGTCCATGGTACTAATCCTAACAGTTGCTCCATTGCCTACAGATTTAATTGTGTCTGACCAAGCCTGTTCATCAGATTGGTACCTGCCAAATAATAGCTGTGGACTGCAAATGCTTTCAGAGTGGAGGAAGGATGAAATTAGATATACTTTCTGAAAACTAAATGTAAATGGAGCTCTGTTAATTGGTCTCAGACTGGAGCTATTGATACAGTTGAGTATCATCACCCTCCAAAAGCAGAGGAAATAAGAAGAGAGAAACAAAAAGTTGTGAAGTTTTTTTTCTGTGACCCGTGCGAAAGATGAAAAAATGAGAAAAAATGTAACTTCAAATCCATATGACATCAGTAGAGGGTCTTAAAAACTGAAAACTTGGAGACGAGCCCCTTCGGCAACATCTGATAAAAACTTAGAGACGAGATAGAATCTTAAAGCCCAAAATTTGATGCCAATTTCCCCCAAAACAGTACCATCTTTCATACTGCAAACAATGGTATCGACTAATACGATACACAGACTACAGGACACAAACATGTGAATATGCATTTCCTTTTCTCCTCTAAACCAGATTCTCCTTTTTGTTCGTTCCTTCTGAAACTTCTAGTTGGTTTTTGTTTTGTGGGAATCTCAAATGCCTGCCCCATGGAAATCTGAAGTTCACATTTGTTTCATGGGTATGACCACTTCTCTGGCATATAAGGATGTCAAGGCATCTTACAGCCCCATTCAAGGACCATTTTTATCCCATCATTTTCTATACCTATTTGGAAGTATCAGTTTTTAGGATGCGTAATTTTTTGGCATCCAAATCTGACAAAAGTCTCACAGCTGATATACATTTTACTAATAACAAAACAATAATAATTCACTACAGTGACTTAGGTTTGTACCTAAAGTTAAATGTTAAATTATTCTTTCATTAAAAGAATTTGTAATATCAATTAATTCACTTTACTACTTTTAAAGCACTATGTCGGTTTACTTTTAATTTGATTAGGATGTGCTTTTTAGTGCGTCTATAAATAATATATCTCTTATTTTCCAGGTATAATGCTCCATAATATTGAATTTATAACACTATATACTAATTTTTTATTCTTATAAAAAATATATATACACTAATTTTTATAGCATGCCTCACCTCACTAAGGTTTTGAATTTTTTTTTTCCTTTTTTTAAGCTGACAAAAAGCATCAGCCTTTAGACTTTATATAGCAAGAGAGAAATAAAGAGCAGTAGCCCAAAGAAGTGATTGAATTGCCAAATACCTCTGGAGGAGCGAAAGAGAGATAGCAAGAGTGAGGCTGCAAGGTTGAAACGCTGCTCCCAGGAGTCTGGATAGATAATTTGATTGTGTAAGGATCTGATATGGACGGATATCCTAATATATGGGGAAAGTTCACATATGGAGGAAGCGGTGACCTGCAATGTAATAATTGTTAACGGTGAACATAATTATCACAAGGAAATGCCAGATTTTGCACTCATGGCATGTAGTACCATAAGAAGTTCAAGTAAAACATAACCGGAGCTATTGCCATTGGCCAAAATGCAAGACAGACATCTTACATAAAATTGGCTACCACACACTACACAAGACTTCAATTGATTTGTTCCGCAAGAACTAAGAAGGCAGCTGATTTTTTAAGGATTCCAACCTCTTTAGATACATTCAATGATGGGCACAATTATTAAATGTAACATTCTTGACACGTGGCTCTTGATGTTAAGAAGCATGGATACAGACATTAGACGCGAATATGACACGACATGGACACGGTGACATATCATGTTCTAAAAATCTAGGACATGGACATGTTTATTGAAATATACAATTCTTTTAAGTATATATCATTTTTATTGGAAAGGAAATTTAAATTCAAGAGGATTCATATTCATTATTTTGCTCTCAAAATTTATTATTTTGTCCTATATTTCTATTTATGTCTATTTCTTATACAAATATGTGCTAGCAAGTTTCGGATTCATATTCACTTTGTACAACTGTGACACACATCTATTGAGCTAACACGTGTGATACATGTCCAATGAATATCGGAGTATCCGACACAGACACGTCGAAGTGTCTATGCTTATTTGATGTAGACATTCTTTTAGAAGCCGGAAAAAGAGATTCTCAGATCTTTCTCAGTTCCCTAAACCTATCTCTCAGAAAAAGGACAAAGAATCTTCTGCCACTATAGAATAAATCACAAAAATACATTCTTCTGTAAAAACTCACTCGGGGGAGGGGGTGGGAAATTTTGGACTTGCCTGCATCTGGACTCAGGATCAACAAAATATGACCAGCAAGGAACTTTTCTATGTATCTGCCACTGCTGGTCGAATATTGTTCTTGTGTAATCTGTGTCATTAAGAAACGCGAGTTTCAATAGGTTGTCAAAATAGGCCTTGACATCAGCTGCTATTGTTGGGCAGCCAGTAAGATATATTCCGAGTTCCTTCACCTAAAGCAACAAATAATTGGGGCATCAACTTATAACTCAATTCCAAAACCACTACTGCGACCAATACTGGAGAAAACCAAGGAACTCAACAAAAAGAATGTTCGACAATGGTTTCCCAAAAATTGTAATTACATATTTCGAGTCTATTTGTTTTGTTTTTTTGTTCTCTTTCTTATAAATGCTTGCAGTATCATCTTACCTGTGAGAGAGATTTCCAATCCTGGTTTGCAGATCCTATATACACATCTCTATCATCAGATATCCAAACTTTGGAATGGACTATGCCTGATCCGTACCAATGACCGAGTAATAAAGTTACATTCTGGACATTTGGCCTGCCAGAAGCTAAGTCAGCTGGTTCTTTTCCATAGTGAGGAGATACTCCCGAGTGAGATACGAGCCTACACGATGAACAGTTTAGAAATTAAATAACATAACGAAAACCTTGAATTAATACTTAAAATAAGTAAAATTCAAAACTGGCAATATCTTTAGGCGAATGAGATATTACTGGCACTGGATAAGCGATTAAAAGCCCTAAAAATTTACATATCGATGTTATCATCTTCAAGGAGTAAAATATACATATTTTTAATGACGAACGAAGTATTATTGAGTTCTACAAGTTTGAAAGGATACACCAAAGCAGCTTACTATTTGGATTTGGCTAATTTCCATTCCAAACCCTATATCATTGCCAAAGCATCACCAATCGAAAATTGAATCTACCTGACAGTGACATTGCGATCAGCAGCTTTCTCAATGGCTGTATAAACATCATAACCTTGATAGGCACCAAACTTCTTCAAATCCTCATTAGAATATCCATAGTCTCCCGAGCGAGAATCATCGGGACTGGCTAATAATTCCCAGTACTGAGCAATGATATCCAAACGCTGCGTCGAGTTCCCAGCTAACCAAACAAATACATCCCCTGATAATCCAAAAAACCGAGAACTAACAATCAGGTCAGAGTTTCTTGGTATTTAGATCTAGATGATCAGCGAAAAAAGAACCAAAAGAATCATATGAATTAGTTAGCTAACTGGCAAAATGACGATGAGATTTACCAGTAGAGAGGACGCCCGGAACCCGCTGAAGCTGCGGCATATCGGTGGGAATTGATTGTACAAGCCATGCCTTGCATTGCGGTGGAGTGAAGGAGAGAGCAGTTGAGAATTGGCTGAAGAAGAAGAAGAAGAAGAGAGCACTGAAAATGGTAGGTACAGTCCGCGCTCTCATCTTCCTTCCTCACTTCTTATCCAAAAAATCTTCCTTCCTCACTTCTTTGGGGGAATGTTGACCTTTGAAGAAATGTATTTCCTCTAAATTCTCGTTTTGACTAAAATAGCCCTGTACTTTCGTGAAAGAAAAAAAAAAGAAAAGTATTTTTGTTAGCCATAGTTTTTTGTGCCATTTATGAAGATTTAACTCTTAAAAAATCCTTCACTACACCCTATTTAATATATAACTATTATAACATGTAGTAAAAAATTTATTTGTTTTGGGTTGAATTTTAGTTACCAAAAAAATAAAAAAATAAAAAAATTCACCAAGTGTTCGAATAAGTATTTTTTAGTCACTATTTTTCTATGACTAAAATAGAGTGTACTCAAGGGTTTTTATGAGTTAAATCTTCATAAATGGACTCCCAAAATTAGATATCTGTGTTTATTTTTTCAATTTATAGTCGGGATATATCTTAACTGAGCTATGTTTAGATTGACGTGTTTTTTCATTTATTTAAATGTTAGATTCTAAATTCATAATTTCTTTTTTTAATCATTAGATTTTTACATATTTTAGTTACAAATTATATTACTTTAAATCATTTGACAAAAGATTCAGGATAAAAATAACATTAATAAAACTTGTTTGAAAAATACCCAAACATTAATTGACGAGATTGTTTAAGAACAACATCAATTTCCTAAACATTATGGTTGTTATTTTTGGGACCCTTTTCCCCTGAAATTGACTATAATTGAACTTTTCGAATCTAGATTTTGGTCCAAATTTAGGTGATTCGTTTTTTTTTTCTTTCAATTCACTCTTTTTTTTTTTCAAGAAGTATGTTAGTTNCTAAATAATTTTCAAACTCAAGTTGATAAAGTTAAAATAGATCCACCCACCGAAATATAGGATGAAATTTTAAATCCGTTATTAACAACAATAAAGTCAATTGCCAACCTGAATATAAATCAACTGTTCGAATTTCCTCTAAATCAAACTTCCAAATTATACATGAAATTGAAGAAACAAGACTAAAGATTAAGTTAACCCTTCACAGTTAAAACTATATAAGAATGTCAAAAGCATCAAATAATGCCAGGTTCTCTAACACATACGACTGAACCAGCAGAAAATTCCAAGTTAAAACTCCATGAAACTTTAGTTTCCCGAATTTAGTACAGAAAAAATGTCCATCGACTGAAAGGAAAAAAAAAAGAGAGAAAAAAAGAAAACAGGCTAGGAGAGAAGATCTGCTAATCAAATTTCACAGAGGAATAGATAATTCTTGTGAACCAAAAGCAAGCAAAGAATCCAATGGTACCAGTTAGCACGAAGAAAGCATAAGAAGCAATTAGCATGTATCCTATGTACAATAGCACAGAGACAAGCTTCGTGATCTCGAGCGAGTTAGAGAAGTACGACATCGAATAAAGGAAGAGGTAAAGAGCGACYGAACCCGATGTTATGAAAGATCTCCACCACCAACGGTAATCCTCCCTGCATAACTGTAAGTAACAAAGCATGATGGATATTTCAGCACAAGTGAGGGTGAGGATGATGAAAACCAGCAAGTGGAAGCCAAAGAACCAGTAGAATTGGTTTAGCCAAGTTGCAGTAAGGCTGAAGGAGAGCTCAATGAAGACGGTCGAAAAGGGAAGTATCCCTCCAATAAAAACGATGGAGATCGGATTCATGTACCAGGACTGTCGTGGGATTTGCCTGTGAAGTGAGTTGTTCGTCACAGGTTTTTGTATTGCTGCCTTCTTGAATCCAAAGTAACTTCCCACAAAAACAAGTGGGGCAGAGATTCCAACCCATAGAAAGACCAAAGCAAGCATTGCCCAAGATGGCACTATTGCAGATGATTTCTGACCCCATAACAGAGCATTTAACATGAAGAAGATTACAAAGTTGACAGCCGGGATTATGAAGGCCGTCTTAAGGGCAATTTTCTTCCAATCCGAACCGTTAAACATCTTGTAAAGACGGGCCGACACATAACCAGAACAGAGGCTCATGAAGATCCAGAGCAAGAGCATGGTTGTAATAAGAGCACCCCTATTACAAGGGGAGAGGAGTCCCAGGATGGCAAAAAGCATAGTGCCAAAAATCATTCCAAGAAACTGAACTCCAGTTCCAACATGGACACATAATAGATCTGAATTACTTGGTGGCCTGAAAACATCCCCATGAATGAGCTTCCATCCCGTCTCTTTCTGGGATCGATCTTGGGTCTCAAGATCATTGTAGTTCAAAATATCCCGGTAAATCCGCCACACAATTACTGCCAGTATGCCAGAGATCACAAGAATAGACTCTAAGCCATTCATTATTGAGAACCAATGCATTTGGTCATCCCTCGTGGCAAGATAGGCATCCCATCTTGATGCCCAATCCACATCGCTCTCCTTAAATCCAGGAAGAAACACACACAATATAAGAATGATACACTATACCAGTAAGAAGCAAATAATTATGTAATGGTATTTGACAATAAGCAATACAACAGCAAGTAAATAAAAGGCAAGGAAACTAGCATAAAGAAATTCATCCTTGGGGTACTAATACTCCTGATTTGGTAACAACTGAACAAATGTGAATATAAACTGCAATTATGCAAGATCTGATTTACTATTCAGACGTACTTGATATTCGACATCATAAGTAAAAATGATTTCATTTCCCTCCTCAACCTCTTGAGGACCGTCAGAGTTAAGAACCGTGACTTTTGAGCTTGGGTCACAAGTTGAAAGCCGAGTATTCTTTTCT